CCCCATCCCCCCGCAGAAAATTAACAAAGACATTAACAGCAACAATAACAACAGTAACAACTACAACAGCAACAACAACAACGACGCGACGACGACGACAACGACGGCAACATCAACGTCAACGACAACAATATCAACACGGCCAACAGGAGCTACAACAACAAATAAGGAAAAGTAAAAATAACGTTGTATTTTAACCAATTTGTGCTCTCAGCATATTACAATGTGACAATATCTGCCAAATCCACTTTCTTTAAAGCCAGCTCAGGTTTACCTTCCTCCGAAATAGTAATAATTTAAAAAATGTTCTTATTCAATTCACCGAGAACATGTATTTCGACTCACTAGACCTGCATTCACATAACTCAGTTTGATATCTGCCCTGAAAACTCACCCTTTTCCAAAGATTCTATTTGTCCTGCTGTGAAAGACGTTCTGTTTCTCTGCAACTTCCTTTTCAGGCGCATGCGCATCTGTTCATCTGTTTCGCCATTTTGGCCGTCGCTTTGACTTCCGGTTGACCCTGCACTGCTAAGAAGATCGCCTGTAGAGTTAGGAAGAAAAACTTGACTGAACGTTGTTTTCAAATACACGACATACACATTCTAGAAGGAAAAGACAAAAATATCCCACCCTGTAAAAGCAGCAAATCAGAAGAAAAAAAATAACAACAACAGCAACAAACAACAACAACAACAGCAACAAACAACAACAACAACAACAAGTCCTTTAAAAAATGAAATGGGCAGTTGGAAGGTAAAGAGTTCTTTGGGAAGGGGGGGGAGGGTTGTTTAGGGACTATGTTTTTTGTTGGATTTTTTAGTTTGTAGTCGCTTTCTGTTGTAGTTTTGAGATTCGCTTTAGCTAAAAAGGGGAAGCGTTGGTAGGGGTAAAGATTGGTTTGCAGAATGATTGTTTAGGGGGAGCATGTGTTTAAAGAAATTACTAAGATTGTATCGAGCATCAGAACGTGAAGTAGCTGATGCCAAAATAATATAAGGAAGAATGCCGTAATCAAGCTATCGAATATTCGGTTGATAAATCGAACTCTTCTTAAGATCACACTGAACGAACCTCTCATGCCACAGTCTAGCTAACACGATATGACGATTACTGCAAAGCGGAAATATGAAAATGGATGATTGGTTGCTGTTTTTTCTTTAAGGAGTCCAAAAAAGGAACAAAATTTTTTTTAAAGCTTTTAACAAAAATGGGGTTGCTTGGGGTTACATTAAAAAATTAGATCTATATTATTATACTTATCTTCTTTTTGGAGGAAGTGATTTAGAAGGGGGAGGGTCTAGAATAAAGCGGTGGTGGTGATCGTGGCTACGTAAGGAAAGTCCGAACGAGGGCAAGTGAGCAGCAATTTGATTGGTTCGAGGAGCAAAGATCGATGCCAACAAACGCCATTACCCAAAGCCAGCAGGACACATGCGAGAGACGGCGAGTGGCTGTATACGGGCCGAGATAAATTATGTGTCCAATCCGCGCGCACCTATTGTCAAAACATGCGTAAATTCCGCTCGCTCAAAACTCAGCCTTCATGACAACCGGAAGCTCTTTTTCTTTTCATAATCGCGCATGCGTACGGATTTTACGGTGACACGACGATGTGCTTCCCCCCGCACGTTTGGTGCCTCGTTTGCAAATGAGGTTGATACCATCATCGATAACAGCAGAGGGTGACCAGAGGGTGATTTATTCCGCTACGGTGTTGCATGTTTCGATTTTTAACAAGTTTAAAAGATAAAAAACTAGGACAAGCGAAAAAAACAACCCCACAGAGCTTTGCAACACGAAAATTATTTTGTTTTTAGTTGTAGCAATATTTGCAGCGACATATTGTCTACCCATATTCAGGGTGGGAAAGGTTTCTAGATCTACAACAACTTTTATAACGCATGTTTGCTATGACTTCTCCATGTTTTCCGTGATAAGACAGAGGGGAATGATAAACTAGTTCCGTTAAAATGAAAAAAAATATATAGTACTCTCTTTCGGAATTAAACTTTGAACATGGGCAGTATAAATCAAATTTATGTCAACTGCTTTTAAACTGTCAGCAAGGTGTCTCCGCCCCGCCCACTCCTTTTCTCAAAATTTTGAAAATAACAACAAAATAAGAAATACCAAAGAACCCCCCCCCCGAAAACACAAACACGCACAAACACACACA